CTCCTTATACGTGGGCAGCAGTGAACCCAGATGGTTGGCCTTGAGTGGACTCTGCCTCCCGGCGACCCTGCGTAGGCTGAGTCTGTACGTGGCCCACGGGGTTCTCAGTGGCTGATTTTTCAAAGGAGATCTCCAGGCCTTTCTTCCCAGCTGCCTCTGGATGGACTCAAACCTTCAATCTGTTCACTGTTACACCATGTGGACAAGATGCTAGTCTGTTTTCAAGGGATAGCAACAGCAAGATCACCTGCAATTTCCCTGCACTTACTGCACAGGGCAGGTCAAACCAGCTGACGAAAGAGGAGGACGCCTCGTAGAGGTTAACAGGGGTGACTGTGAGGGCCCTTAACGTAGAGGATAATGGGGGTGACTGTGAGCTCCCTTCCCATAGAGGTTAATGCGGGTGACTGTGAGGTTACCCTGTGATGTCCCTTCCCCAGAGCTACTCACAGTGTGGCCCCGTTTCAGGCATGTCAGGACGGGGGGGGGGGCTTGAACAAAGGAAGAGGGCTCTGAAAGTCATCAAAGGGGCACTTGTCTTACGTCTGTCACCCTCGGTGCCATCGAGTGAAAACGGTTTAGGAGTCTTTGTGATTGTCTGAAGCTCAGCGGCAGTTTGGGTGGTAGGCCTTTCCCCTGTCAGCTTTGATGAGAGTAAGCCGTTTGCACTTGCTGGCAGGTTGGGTCCAAGTCCCAGTGCCCTGTGTGTGGCCGAGCTGACCGCCCTCCAGAAGGGTTTCCGTGGCCGGTTTCCAGCTCACCAGCTCCTTCTTCGGAGGCACCTCTGTGGACTCAAACCTCTAACCTTCCAGCAGCCCCGCGGGTGTGCCATGTCACCACCCGGAGCTCCTTTCAGATCTTAGAGGTGCCTAAAGCTTTCCCGTCGGCCTCCTCCCTCGGTTCCTGATCCACTAAGACCAGAGAGATGCCACGTTCTGAGGCCCGTCCCCTCTGCAGGCCTGGGGCATCCGCGGCGTGTCTGTGAGATCTCCTTGGCGAAGACAAAGGGGAAGAGTTCAACAGGCCCCATGCGTCCTAGACAGTCAGCTGCCTCAGATCAGACAGTCTCCTGGGGTCTCAGGATCAGAACTATGCCTGAGGCAGCCAACATCACTTGAAAAAGACCTCACACAACCCTTAGCTCTGGGGACGCCTTGCCAAAGCGGTCGCTCCGCTCCGTGTGGACAGAACATCTGTGAGTGAGTTCTGTCCTCGACAGCAGGCCGCTGGGAGGGGCAGCTGCTCAGCGAGCTTTCGGTTCCTCTGCCGGTGTTCCTGCCCTGGTGGGGCTGCCTGTCAGCACCGCACAGACAAAGCACAGAGGCCCCGGGACAGCCAGTGCCAAGGGGGCCCACTAGAGCTGGACGTCGAGGGCAGTTACAACCACGTACAGTGTGATGAACTCCCCAAGATGACCCTCTGGCTGACATCTCAAAAGGTTACACTATTGGCTTTGCTTTCAGTGGGCAGACTCCTGCTCGCCTCCTCCCCCCCCCCCCCCCCCCCCGCCTGCCAC